TACAACAGCTACATCAAAAGGAAAAGGAAAAGCAAGTACATTTAGCTAGAAGCGGGAAATTTTATTCGATAAAAAGAAATTGCCGCAAAGAGTCCGGAAAAATGAAAATAATGAGCAATTACTGTTGACTTTGAAAAAATTCACCTACCCCGACATAACAACGTCTAACATGTTTTACCGTCGTTAGTTGAATTTCATTTCCTTCAAGATCCATGTTTTGTCAGACTCGGCCTCAGTTTTTTACATGTACGACGAAAGTGTTGCTGATGTATGCTCTATGCTTAAAAATTTCTTTGAGAACATTCTATGCCCAAATGTAAAACATATTATTGTTTTCTGCTACTCATGCGCAAGCCAAAACAAGAATTTTACAATTATGAGTTTTCTTCACTAGACTGGAAGGAGGATGGAAAGAAATATGGGCCTGAGACACCCAATGACTGGATAGACATAATGAGAAATAGCAGAATAAAATATCACAGTCGTTAATTATGGCAAAGTAGTCAAGTTTGAATCTTGGACAGGTTTCTTTTCTGGAATTTATCTGAAAAAGTGTCCTTTTCCTATACGACCAATCAGAGTTCTAAAATCGACCAAAAGGAATCAAGGTTTATGATACACAAAGCAAACTACTTTGGAGGCTATCTGAAAGCTGTTCTTTTTGGGAACTAAGGTACAGCCAAGTCAAGGAAATATAGGAAGCAAAATGTACTTGAAAAACTTTACGATGGAAAGCTGCCCCTCAAACCTGCAAAAATGAAGGACTTACTACATTCAAAACAGTTCTTGACCGTGTTCGACTCTCAAGCATTCTACGATTCATTTGCTCCTGCTCTTGAATTGAATGAAGGAGAAGAGGATAACATCAAATACATAGATTACTCACCAGTTGATGACGGTGAATATCTGGCAATAGAGATCAGTGTCCTGAAGACTTTCATTTTGAATTTTTTTTATCATGCACATTAAGTCAAATGTTTCTTTATTATTTTTTGAATTTATAATAAACTGGGTACATTAACATGGAAGACTGAAAACATTGTTTATTATACCTATTTTCCATTTACTTGAACGACATCAAACTAAAACCGCAATTCCGAACATTTTGATTTGGATGACTATGATCGTTCTTCCCGGTGACCCTTCATATGATCCTATTCCACTGTAGTACCTCCAATTGTCCGGTATTTGGTGACGGTTGGTTTTTTCAGTATCAATATCCACAGGCATTATCAAGATGCATAGCATATCCGTCGTGTGATCACTTGGACCGCCATTGAAATGTTACATTTTTTTAGGCCTTAGCTTGCTTTTTTCAGAGAACGAAATTAATTTTTTTAATGTGTAGGGGAGGTCAGTAGAAGATTGAGTTCAAGTTTGTGGGGTCGCCACCCTTGTCCCCTGGCTGGCTTGTCCCCTGGCTGGAAAAAGAGGTGCCAAGGGTTCTCGCGCTGTATCTCGTAAACAAGCAACCCTATAGAAAATTCAATCGAACATAAAATGTAGCAAATTCAATTTTCTACAATTTCAATCTTATTACTTTTCCATGGACTGTCTCTATATTTTGACAAAAAGTGTCGGCACACGACACTCTTATTAAAGATGTATCCAATAGATTATAGCATTCCATTCACAGAGAGGTTGAGTTAACCTCAAGTGACAATGCTTGGCAACGTCAAGTTGGCCCTTCAATTTTGTTTATATTGTTTTTATAAGTTATATGTTATTATATGTTGTTTGTATTTGGAAATGAATAGATATCAAGTGGAATATTTCCACGAGTTCATGAAGATCTGAACAAAATACGCGCAACAGATTTCGATTCCTGCACCATATATCAATATGTGTACAAAGTTGGGTGAATCTCATTCCTCGTGTCGAGAGTGTTTAATAAAACAAAAGCGAAGCAGTGAAAATACAAAGGTTTCTATGCATTTTAGGCATAACATCGGTTGTCACTATGGAGTGATAAAGGGTGTCTGCTTGTCCTGGAATGCCAAGTCTTTTAGTAAAGTAATATAAAGGGCGTATATCAAGCCCCATCTTTAGTAAACCACTGAACTATTTATTACTCTGTCGGCTGGGCAAGGAGATGAACTCATTTACACTGGTAAACACTATACGGAAATGAAGTTGAAAACTCTTATACATTGGTCACGCTAATCAGGAATAGAGCATTGCACTCCATATTTTGTTTAATAATAATAATTCTTTATTCTCCAGAAGGACAATTCAAGTATTGTATAGGAGTAGTCGTTTATCTAAAATTAACAGAACATGATAACATTCACTGAAATTGTATATAACAGAACAGTAAATTTGCTGGTATTAAAGTCGTTTCATGTCTGGCTGGGGTGTTGTGGATGAAGATATTTTTCATCTATTAACGGGGGACATGAGGGCCTCATTCGACAGAGTGTCTGGGACTTCTATATCGGAAGGGGTCGTCTACAGCATAATCTCTAGCTTCCCCAACTAACGGATTAGTACAGAGGGTACAGACTTCAGATCCGATCCTCGATCTTTGCCTTCACGGTTGTGATGTGCGGGTTCCAGGTGAGCCTACGGCCTATTAGAACCGAGGTACTTTACCCGCGCTTACCAATCGATCTCCCTTCTAGAGATCCCCACTTTTCTGGCCGGAGAAGAGATCGTTCTTCCCATGGTTATCGCCTGAAATGCTCCAATTCGTGCTCTCTCATGGTCGTGAACGCACGCAGAGGAGAGTATCCCAACGCCCATTATTATCATTATTATTATTATAATTTTCCAAGGTTGGGTCCGAGAATCATGTGCCCCAAACAAGGTGTGAGCCAAGAATGACAGCCTTCTGTATTTGTCCGGCTAAAATTTCTGTCTTAGTGCGGCAAGCCGGTATAATCTTGAGATTCGAGAGTAGAGAGGACATCATTCCACCAATGACTCCACCACTATTATCGTCTTACTCTGATGGTCGAGAAGAACTACATCAGTTTTATTAGCTCGTGTAAGCCTGACGATGAAGAACGAATAGTTACAATAAATGTGGCACTTCTCGTTTCCCCCAATAGATTCAATATCCCCCGGAGCGTAGGACAACACCGATGTCTCGACAAGTGCCGCAGGCGGTAATAAAGCACTTTCAGAAATGAGCTCTGTCGATATATATATGCTGAGACGGCATATGCTGGACATGCTGGCAGCAAGTGCATTGGGGTCACTTGCACCTCACGGCAGGTCTTGCACCTTGTGTCGGGAACTTCTATACCCATCACGCGACTACGGTAGACTAAGGTATTGAAAACACCACCCTGGCAGGCTATGATTAACCCCTTAGTTTCCAATTTCAGCCCACTCGACTTGAGGAAAACGGAGGTCTGGCGATTTGATGAGTCGAAGTTTCTAATATTGTTAGAGAAAACCCCCACGCATTGGCTAATCATTATGTTACCGCAGCAGTGAAGTGATCTGTTTGGCTTTTATATATGCCTTTTGCTGGACGGGTTCCAACTCGTTGATGGAGTTGTGATTACCTTGTTCAATGTCGAAAACTAAACCGAGTTCATCAGCCGCTCGGGCAGCTGCCCTGATAGAAAAAACTGAAGTTTTGCTCTCGTTTAGTCGCAGATTAGGCAGAACTCTTGAGTAGACACTCCAAATTCAAAAGTTCATGGCGTTCCTGTTGAAGGAAGTACAACCGCTGAACGGACGATTTGAGATGCAAATTCCTATGAAGATGCATATTTTTTGGTTTATCACGTCCTATCGGGTCCATTTCACTACTCCGAACGTGTAGAGTACGATTGGAACGACAAGCACATTCACAGCAGCGACTTTGTTCTTCCCCGTTAGTTTCTACTATCAGATCTGTCGGAGTTTGGGCTAATACTCGCCGCGGAGATAGTTCTTCACCCCGAGGTGAGTGTTGATCTCTCGGGAATCCAGATGGTGCAGGATGCTTTTGATAAAGACCATTGCATATTTGTCTTGAATTCTATGCCGATAGCATGCGTTCACTCTTCCAGCACCCTCAAGGACTGATTATCATTATTATTTTTATTATTACCGTCATTATTATTTTTATTAATTCATAGATAATTCCAAAAAATAATGTTTCATTGGTGCTAGGCGATGACTGTGTTAGAAAAAAGAGAGAGCACTTATAGTTAGTAGTGGCGATTCTCCGCATCTACCTCTGGTTGATTTGGAAGTAATTTTGTCAGTCATGAGAATGAAGAAGTCGTGAGTACTGATAGTCGAGCTTACAGTGATGTCCGGATGCGGTTTGTTTTGGTGCAATGAAATTCAGAGAAACTTTTGGAAAACGCACTAAGTACCTGTTGAAGCAATGAATATAGGTTCAATGTAACGAAAATTGTGAGAATAACAAGAAACAACAAGTATAAAATCAAGAAAATATTTTTGTGAAGGCACTATTTCCTCAGTTATTTGTAGAAATAATTTTCAATATCTTCAAGGAATAGTAATTCAACAGAATTGAATGACTGATTCACGTTTTACTCAGTAATTAAATTAATCAGAGTCGTCAACTTGAAGTAATTGGGTTTTTGAATTCGAAAAAAGTAAGCATGAAATCTTTCTAGAAAATTATGGCTGATAGTTCGTATCAGAGTGATTTGGAGAATGATCGAAAGCAGATCGAGAGATGGGGAGGTGGAAAGTGAAGTGAGGTTGTGCTAAGTTGAATATTAACACTCATGATCATTTTGTTTCCGTTACTATGATTATTGTTTTTTCATCTACTCTACTTGAAATGAACATTATGTTTCATTAGAAAAATGAAGTAGTTTTGTAATTTTTTTTAATATTTCTAGTTTTAGTCAGTAAAAGTAAACCCCAGTCACGACAATATACCAAATAATTTTTATGGAAGAGCAAAAAAACAATTTCTTGTAATGGGCAATTTTTCACAAGTTATATAACTACTGATAGTGTGTACACAATCAATGGATTTCCAAGGAGTTGCTACATTTATGGAAGCAAAAGTCAAACAACGTATGTGCTGAGGTAAATGTGGAACAGAAACAAAAATTGCTTTATTGTATAGCTAGACTACTAGAAAAAATTACTGTGTATTGTTGACGAAGAAATAAAGAGTAGCATACAGTGGAAAACAATAAAAATATCAATATTTTTCTTCATTATCTGATGATTTTCCTGAAGTGATCTATACAGATCTATGCAAAAATCATAACTACTAAAAAATGATTATTCTTTTATGTGTCTTATTTGGTTGTGGACAACGAGAACTGATCCCTGACAATCTGGTCCTCAGTGGGGTAATGAAACTATGTCGTGTCAACTTTATTGAATTTTCGTTACGTTCAACCAAACTTCCCCGTCGACTCCTGTGATCCTAGCAGACGGGGAGTACCTTATTGGGGTCTTCGTTTTTTCATTCAAAGTGACTTTGAAATTTTTGATAATAGCAGCAATTCCAATTTTAGTTTGCAATAGTCCAAATCTGGCCCCTGAAATGAGAAAAATGTATATTATAATGATTTATTGTGTAATTAGTCTAAAACAAAAGATGAATCCACATTCAAGTTTATATCAGTATCACTAAAAAATCCGTGGGTACATGAACATCGGAGTAACTGTAAATTAGGTCAAATAGACAAATCGGCAGTATCGCTTAGTGTAGGAGGTCACCCGTTACTGTTGGAAGCCCCCTATCATGGATACCACAGTCGATTTGTAAGGGAAGCCATAGAAATCCATAAATATACGGAGAACTACAACAGAAAGTAGAAGGCGGTAACGCTTAGCTGGGTTTGGAATCCCATACTCAAAGATGCTGAAGTGGCAACAACGGAATGCAATATTACGGCTCTTAGAGATGACATGTCACTCATTATTAAGTCAAGTATTAATACGGTAATAAATAACAACCCGCTAACTGGTGGCGGGGATAGATACGTTATCAACAGGTAATAACACTTCGGCCAATAGCAACACATTAACAAGAGAGGCGAGCTACCTGAGTCAACATAAATAAAACCTACGAACTAGAAATCACTAGGCATTGGTGAATCATCAAGATGGATAAATCTCTGAAGAAGCCACCCACTCGTGCTGGCGAAACGTTAGGATGCAGTTCCAAACTACGACGGCCTTCAAACCCCTAGGAAAATAGGAACACTGAAATTTTCGGCCGCGAAAGCCTTAACTAATTTAACGTTACAAAGTGTTGTTAACGAATCTTTCCTGTTATTTTTTCTGGTTCTATCTAGAATCAATTGTGATAATCCTTTCATTATTGGATAGTGCAATTTGCATCATTCAGTGATAATAGGTTTCTTTATACAGGGTGTAACTGAATAAGTGTAAAACATTTATGGAGGTGATTCCTCATCGAAAAAAGATAGGATCTTTCATATAAAGAAACTTCATTGGAACATCCCTAGTTAAGATACAGCCCCTCAAAGGGGGTACATAAAATTTGTATAACAATTTTTTTCACAAGAACTGAAAAAGTTACAATATTGAAACTAACCTGACGGTTTGTACTACCAAAAAGACACTTAGCCAGTAATTTATTTGGTTTACGTCATGGTTGTAAGGGGTGGAAAACGCAACCCCTAAAATTTATTTCCAATGAAACTTTTTGTCTCATTATTTGTTTACCATTTAAACATTTATTTCCGATAGCCTGTTTCACTCCAAACAAAAAATGTCCTTTGAGTTTTTTGCCCAAAATAAACCTGTTTGCAGCAAAAAATTATTTTACGAACAGCTACAGAGATACATCGTCATAAATGCGAACTGGATTCATTGTTATTTTGTAGTTAGTACCTGCATTAAACGAATAAAGGGTAATGAACAAAACTAATTTATTACGTTATGTCTACCTTCAGACATAACGCATGCGTCCAGACGTCGGCGCATTGAGCCACGTATTCGCTCAAATATTCCCGGAGTCTCTCTGATTACCCTGCACGCATCGATAATGCGGTTTCTCAAGTCCTCTATATCGCGAACAGGAGTACGATAAACCAATTGCTGTGAATGGCCCCAAATAGAGAAATCGAGAGGATTGAGATCCGGGGATCTGGGATCCCTTCTGACGCCCAAAGGAACTTCCTCCAGTAGTACTGGATGCACTTCTCTCAAAAATTGAACGTATGCCTCACCATTCAATCGAGGAAGTAGAAAATGAGGCCCAATTAAATCATCTCCAATAACTCCGAGCCACACGGTTAGAGAAAACTGTTCTTGATGGTTAGTTTCGACAACAGCGTGAGGGTTTTCATCGGCCCATATGTGGTAATTATGAAAATTAATAATTTCGTCCCGAGAAAAACTACATTCGTCTGTGAATTCTATCGTCTTCAGAAAGTCACAATTGCTCCTAATCATTTCCAGCATCCATTTGCAAAATTCAAGACGGTTGGGAAAGTCTCGCGGTAACAGTGGCTGTACTCGTTGCAGATGGTAAGGGTATAAGAGTTGTTCCTTTAAAATTTGAAATACCGTCATATGATCAACATTTAGCGGGAAAGCAATCTTTCTAGTACTGGTAGTAGGTTGTTCTTCAATCAAATTAAGTACTGCTTCCTCAAGCTGTGGTATTCGTACTTCTCGATGGCGACCACAATCCTGCGTTCTTTTGTCAAATGAACCATATTCTCGTAATCGTTGATGTAATCAATTTCGAAAATTCACAAACTGACAGCGTCATACCAATTCAATTGTCACTATCGCTAATAGCGACCTACTAGATAGATTAATTTCGTATTTTCGCATTTATGACGATGTATCTCTGTAGTTGTTGGTAAATTTTTTTTTTGCTGCAAACTGGTTTATTTTGGGTAAAAAACCCAAGAGACATTTTTCGTTTAGAATGAAAGAGGCTATCGGTAATAAATTTTTAAATGGTAAACAAAGAATAAGACAAAAAGTTACATTGGAAATAAATTTTAGGGGTTGCGTTTTCCACCCCTTACAACCATGGGGTAAACCAAATAAATTTCTGGGTTAGTGTGTTTTTGGTAGTACAAAACGTCAGGGTAATTTCAACACTGTAACTTTTTTAGTGCTTGTGAAAAAAATTGTTATACAAATTTTATGTACCCCCTTTTAGGGGGTTGTATCTTAACAAGGGATGCTTCAATGAAATTTCTTTATATGACAGATCCTATTTTTTTTTTTCGATGAGGAATCACCTCTTCAAAAGTTTTACACTTATTTAGTTACACCCTGTATATCATCATCATGAAATACGTGTTAGATAATATTGTGCGAATTGTTTATGCTTTCCATCTATATAGGTTTGAGAAAAGACAACCAAATAGAAGGGTATTTTTGCTGCAAAAACCAAATTGCAAGAACTGGAAATGTCCATTACTAGAAGTTCGAACTTGCATGCCCAGTGATGGATGAAGGCAATTACACTCCATACTTCTTTTGCAATTTGGTTGTAGTGCATATGAGTTATGTTACATAATGAAGTTGAGCAACATATTCTTCTTTATATATGTTTCAAAAAATTAACATCTTCATAAACAATTTCTAGTTGCATAGTTAAAATTCATAACGATACTACCAACACTCACCTATGCATATTCTAGGTCCTTCCCCAAATGGCATATAGGCAAAAGGGTGTCTTCTAGCTCTGTTCTCCTCATTGAATCTCTCTGGATCGAACTTATCCGGTTCGGGGTAGTATTCTGGATCCCGATGGATTCCTAGGACTGGAATATTCACTGCAGTTCCTTCGTCTAGTACTACGTTGGTACCGGGAATAGTATAAGCTTTCTTACAAACTCTCCTAAGGACTGTAGCTGCTGAATGTTTACGGAGAGTCTCTGAAATAAAGGTCTGTAATAATAAAATCCTTTCGAATTGAAGTCCGTATCATTCGTCCTCCATTTCTATTAAAAGAAAAGAGTTTTTGGATCGAAACTCGTTTCTCTTTCTCTCTTACAAATAAACTTGACGTTTTTTGTATTTCGACATATTCGATGGCCCTAGATATAGTGAAAATGGCAAGGTAGGATCGAAAATATACACACATATAATTTGTGATTTGATGGTCGATGACAACTCCGATTGTTGAGTCAAAAATATTGAAAATACTCTAAATTTAATGTACTTGTATAATCGAAGAAAATATTTTCCTAGTATGGTATCACATAGTTTCCAACTGTACATGCTAATAGCAGTGAAGTGTTTTTTAATAAAACAATAATTCGTAACTCGTATTGTTCTCTTGATATTTGAGATGACCCATTTTCAAGAGCATTGTCTTTAATGATGATTCAGATAAAGAGTAATTTAAATAGACATATCAATGTACAAGTTTGTTCAAATTAATCATTTTGCAAACATTGTTTCTACGAATGAGAAAAATATATTCAGTTCGTGATAATTATTTTCTTCGAAATTTAATTCTATTGAAATAAAATGAAGAATTTGATCTACATAACCTCAACCAATCTGCAACATACTAACCATCAATAACTTTCTCCAGGTATTTCATCTCCATAACAGAATCATAAGTGAACTGCATATCGTGCTTCTTCAGAACCATATTGATTTCCTGTCTCAATCTGTCTTGTATATCCTGGTTGAGGGACAGTTCAAGCAAAGCAAAAGTCATAGTTGTGGCGGATGTTTCAAATCCTGCTATAAAGAACACGAGACACTGCGCTGCAACTTCATTGAAAGACAAAGTATCTGAGCCTTTGTTCTTCTCCTCTTCCTTTGTAATATTTGCATCGTCGGTGACTTTGCCCCTGTTTTTCAACTGCAGCAATAAATGCATGAAGTCTTTCCTATATATGTTATTCTTTTCTCTGTAATCCACCGTTTTCCTAACCATATTCATCAGAAAATCTTCGGTTGTCTTGTTGGTCAGTTTGAAACCTATAGCATGCAAGAACTTATTAGGAAGCGTCATTAACATGAGTGCCTTGATTTGTCCCCTAATGCTTCCTTTGAATATTCTCCTTCCCCACTGCCGAAACTCTGAGTCTGGGTTCTTCAGACTGTTGCAGTCGATTCCGAAAGCAACTGAACCAATCGCGTCGGTTGTAAATCTAGCGGACACTTCTTTGATATCCACTGCATCTTGGAGGATCGAGTGCTCACTTAGGATGTCTTCAAGGCCGGAAGTGCAGGCCACTAAGGTTTGAAACATCATCTTCAGTTTTCCTGAAATGTCGGTTAGAAGGATTATTTTCATAGTTATAAATTTTGTTCTATTCAAATTATACACAATACAGTGAAATTTTCCATGAGTTATGTGAATTTATAGCTTTGACTTCACGGTGATATATTTTTAGAGAAAAAATAGCCAAATATCAATGACTTTATGAATCAAAACTCCACAGTGAAACATTCACATAAAATTTCATTTCAGCTCCTTCCATCGATTTCAAAATTGATGTTTTTGAATTCCTCATTAAAGAAGGAATCAAAAAGTATACTGCCTCTACTACCGATAACGAAAAATTAAAGTTACCATCACTTCTTCAATCATCATAATGATATTCGCTTTTCTCCATGAATTAGTTGGCATCTCTCAACTTATCTAGAATGGTAACTTGCATTATTGCATTACAAGATACCATTGCAACCGCTTAGGCAGCGTAAAGTTACTTTCGGGCTAACGTTTCATTGCTGTGCCGCTGTTTCCTGTTTCAAGGGTGGGAATATAAGGAAAAATTCATGATGGCGCTCTTAGGGTCTAAATACTTCGAAGGTATAATAGCTCCCCAATCAGATCTCCGGGTGGGGGCTGATTCAAGGGCATCATCATGCATATGTTATTCGAAAACCACTATTTCTGACAGTCAGCAGGGTCTTTGTAACATCAATTCACAAGGAAAAAGCATGGTAACTGTAGTTACTAAGAGGCCCACTAGCAACTTCAAAATCGATTTCTGCAACATCAAAGGACTGAACTCAAATATAAACTTAGTGCACCAATATCTGCAATCAAATACTCCTCATATTCTTGTACTCACAGAAACGTAAATTTGGAATATCTCTCCTGTCAATGGGAGGAAATGCTGAAACCCCGAAACTTTGATGTTATGTGGTTCAAAATAATTTCACAGAAGATCACCAAATTCATATGCTGCGTTTATATACACAATATAGGGCACTATTCTCTTCACTGGCAAACGCCATTGATTTTCTGCAAATCAATCATCCCAATGCCGAAATTTCCATATTCGGTGACTTCAATATCCACATATCGAATGGCTCAAACTTTCAAATGTCAACGAAGAACAAGGTGGCGAAGTTGAGGCTATTGCAATAAACAGTGGACTTACTCATATTATAGATGAACCAACTAGGAGTCCTGACTGTGATGGAAAATATGCTAGTTTTCTGGATCTGAACCTAACAACCAATCCGGAAATTTACACAGTCTCCGTAAGGTCTTCATTGGGATCTTCTGACCACAAACTCATTTTAGTGTTGAGTGAATAACCGATAAATGTTGGGGAACAATCTAAGCTGCGCAAAGTTTCGCATTACAGATCAACTGAATGGGAGGATCTTCAAGACCATTTCCGAAATTTCTCCTGTCTATATTTTTGTTTCAGCTCTTAAGACCCATCAACTTGTGCTTTCGAAGTCAAGGAAGTTAATCTATCATCCATGGATGGATATATTCTTTTTCAATGAATCGACCTTCTGAAGGAAAACCTTGGTTAAACAAAAATTGCGAGCAAGCTGTCGTCGCCCCAAAAAATCTCGCCTACCGGCAGTGACGTAATAATCCTAGTGGCGGAAACCAAAAGAGGTTTGTTAATACTCGTAACAGCTGCAAACTTGAAATAAATGAAAGCAAAGAACTTCACAATGGAGAATTAAGGATAAACTGCTTGCCAATCCCAACGGGTTTAGATCCTCCCGGTCGGTAGCTAAAGATGTTATTCAGAACTTTACAAAATCCAAAATTTTACCATTGACACAAGCGGATGATTCAACTGCAGCAACAGTCATAGAAAAAACAACTCTACCAGCTGCACAATTTACGTCCCACTCCACAGTCAATTTTCTGGGAAAGGCACCACCCACTATTACCACACTAGAATCTACAATGCCGAAAATTACTCTTCAACAGCGTCTATTCAGGCGAATTTTGAAACAGCTCAATATCAATAAGGCGTCTGTCTGGTCATGATGAAGTTCAGCCTATTTCCAAAAAGGGGAAGAAAAGTCTCTCAAATAACTATAGACCAGTTGCTTTGCTATCCATGATATCAGAAATGATGGGGAAAGTGGAAAACCACCATATCTTCAAATATTTGGAAGGCTTAAAAATCTTTAGCGATCATCAATATGGCTTTCGGAAACACTTATCAACAGGCGACCGTCTATATGTCACCCATATTTAGAGTAACGCAATCGAGAAACATGGAGAATCAAAAGCTGGCACGCTTGATATTTCTAAGGCCTTTGACCTAAGACCTTTGTCTTGAATTCGATGATGTGACTTGTCGGACCATTTTTATGTATGGCTCTTACAGCTTCCTGGAAGAACGTTCCCTACTAGTGACCGTCAATGGATATCTCTCGAATACTTTTATCATCCACGCTGGTGCTTCCCAAGGATCCATATTGTCTCCAACCCTCTCTTTATTGGACATCGGCTACGGAGGCACATCTTCACCGGCAGCAGGAGGTTTCAAATCTTAATGAGGATCCAAAAGTAATTTCGAATTGGGATGAAAATAACCAGTTTCAAATCAATGCCAGAAAAACCCAGGCATCGTTTTTTTTTTCAAGAAATCAGGTGTCTCCGAACCGAATATAATAATGTCAGATCAGACAATTCCGCTTTCTGCTTCGATAAGTTTGTAGGGGGTTGAAATGGATGCCAATATGTCTTGGCATAATCATATCGCTGGAATTGCAAAGGCGGTTCAACTCAGTACATCTTGAACTTCACCATTTAGGAACTCTTTCAGCTGGAGATCTGCGTTTATGTCTAATAAACTTCCTGAGAACGTTTTACCAAATGGATTCAATCTTCAATAATTCAAATCCGATGTGCTGCTTTCGCACAGGCACCACTCGCGCATTTTTATGTAGTGGTTGTCTTGTCCTTAAAAAAAGAGTAAGGGAAAGAGTTCTAATATTTGCTCAATATATTCTTCAAACACATCACGCCGTTCAAGTAGTCTTTATGGTAATCGCCAGAATGCTTTGACCGAAACATCAATAAACCGCCCTATACCAAACCATCAGCACTTCCAAAGTAATCAGTCGCCTTCCTTTTTCAGAAGACTAGTTTAATTCGGTAGTCCAGCCTTCTAAAAATTCTTGACGTGATCTCGTAACGTTTTTGTCATGCCACATATTTCCAACGGTATATCTTTCGTTAAGCCAAGCTACGTCCACATAATAAATCTTTCTGTTCTCACTTCGAAACTCTATGCCTTAGGTGATGTCTTCTCCAGTAGATAATTTAATCAATTTCGATTATGAACCATTTTCTGTTTTGTTGTCTCCAGCTGAAATTCAATTCCTTTGAAGTGTTCCACTATTTGTTTCTCCCTATCTTTTGAAGCTTTCTTTATTCTGTCGAAGATCGGTATTTTTGTCTAAAAATAAAATAAATAAACCTTTCTATTAATTTCTAGTTTGTAGTTTTCATCAAGTGGCATAGTTTCTCTTCCTTAAGATGGTTTTGAAAATTTCACAGTTTAATTTTTCTTTCATTCTTATATTTACACGTATATCGATGATACTGCGAATACACTAGATAGTCTGGTTCACAATGACTTTTTTTGCTTATTTTTGTGAAATTTTTCAGACGGGTCCAAAAATTATGACCAAGGTGTTTTACCTAGAAAATTTAAAGAAAGGTCCTAAAAGGCGCTGAAAAAAATTAAAAAAGTTATAAACAATTGAGTGAAAAAAAATTGGGCTTTAGTTTTTTTTTAATATCTCGAAAAATTTTGAAAATTTGAAAACAGATCTGAAAAGATCAATAAATTTGCGTAAAAAAGTCCCTATTCCCGAAACTGTATCTAAATTATTTATAATTTTTACAGAGCCCTGAAAATAGAGCCAAAACCGGTAGTCTTCAGCGCGCATTCCGTCACTCTGACATAAAAATAAAAAAAATTATTTAAATATATTGAATGCGAATATTGAGGAATGAAAAAATTCATGTAATGTTAGGTTACATCAGTAAACAATAATCCGCAGTCAAAAAATTTTTATC